TGTATATTTTGTGGGTGAAACATATGTTTTGTGGGTCATACATAGTCAAATTGGAATTATTAAGTATCTATACAACATGTTTTGCACCCTAAGGAGAGACAATGCATCTCTTCACATTGCTAAATTCATCACAATATACAGAGGGCTGTAGTCTTATTTTTAAAAGATAGATTTTGCTCAGCTTCATCTCTCTCTCTCTCGCAACATAAAACTGCGTTACTCACAAATCAGTTCAACTCACGGGCCAAGATACCAGAGGAACTCCTTAGGAACATGATGGATTTTTGAGTCAAGGTTTGAAGGACGAAGCAATCTTTACTTTCCAAAAAAAATTGGATATTATGACTTTGATGAGGCTGCTCTGAGGGGAACTGTATTATGGTATCCAGCTGGATAATCAAAAAACAATTTTAGACACACATGCACAAAAATAATCACTCCTTTTTTAATAATCCTTAAAATTGAGGTCAGCAACAAAATTTGTTAAATTAAAGCAACGTGCTGGTTGTGTGCAGAAACTCACGACTCCCCCACAACCAATCAAGTCTACTCCACCAGTATATTACATCATGGCTAATCTACCTACAAAGTACACATGGTCACAGCACTTCTTATGAAGCCCTATCAGACATCTTGGCAACAACAATTTGCATTCATATAGTAACCTCCACGCAGGGCAGCATCTCAGAGCGCTTAACAGTGGAGGAACCTGACTCCAAACTAGGGGGACATGGTGGGAGAGGTGACCATAAGCCCAGTCTAAAAGGAAGGTTTTCAGCCGGAACTTGAAAAAGGGAGAGGGGGGGCAAGGCAGAGGGATTGAGGTAGAGTGTTCCAGAATGTTGACAACGTGATACGGCACTATATCAACTACAAAGACTATTATTAATAATATTATGAACTTAATTCCATTTCTCTGCCCTTTCAGCATATTTTTTTCACCAAATATTCAGCCACCTCCCTCATATATATTTCAATTGACCCGGTGCTGACATCCTTTTGGGAGAGTGAATTCCAACCTCTCTGTGTGAAAGCATGTTTTGTGTTTCACTCTGACTGGTTTAAGTTTGAGTTTAACATGAAGTTTTTTTGTTCTCGATTCTCCAAACGGAGGAGCAAGTTTTTCTCTGTCTGCCACGTCAGGTCCTTTTATCATCTTAAACTCATCTGTACTGTACATCTGTACACATAAGCGACAGATTCCCTTGCTTGGCGTCAGGCTTCACTGCTGTTAAGCCCTCCAAGATGTTGCCCCGGGTGAAGGGTGCTATGAAAATACAAGTTGTTGTTGTGGCTAGGGCAAGAAATAGGTCAGTGCTGCCATCTATTCCTTCATCCAGGTCATGAACATATATGTGAGTGAGTGTGTACGTACCATTGTCTCTGTAGCAAGCTTCCCGCTGCTTGTTCAGCTAGGACCACCTTACCTATTCAGGTTTCAGCTTGAAGGGTTAACAGGAGCTGAGTGGGAAGAATCTCTGGCACCAGTTGTTGAATTTTCAGTGACATGAATGATCCACAAGGTTACTGGCGAGTCTGCAGTCAAGTCTGCTTCACTCAAATACCAAGATTCGGACAGTGCTTGAACACAGACATTTCCTCGGCTGAACCAATATGCACGGGGAAGGGGGAGTATTGATTTGAAGAAGGGATCCAGCAAATAATTACATCAAAACACGATTGATTCACAATAAGCGCCAATCTGTGGTACCAGTATCCAGCCCAGTCACTGAGCCTTCAAGTGTGGAGAGAAATTCCACTTAACTCTAGATTAACTCTATTTTCTTAGCATTTTAGGGCTTAATGTCTTAACAGTTTTAATGTTGTCTGTGGTTCTTAAATAAAACTGGCTTTGAAATAAAGAGTATTTAAGAATTTATCAAATTTTGGACCCTCTGAGATTCAGAAAATAGAGAAAGTCTAAACCTAGGTGGAATTTCTACCACTTAGTTTCCACTAAATTTGATTTTCCTCCTAAAATTAAGTTATTATTTGCTTAGGTTGCCTTGGTTACATCAGCAGTTAGAGAGAAAGAAAGAGAGTGAGTGAGAGAGAGAAAGGCTCAAATACATCACGTTCAGTTCTATTCTTTATCATTGAAATAAAGAATCTCAGAGTTTTCAGTGATTAAGGGACCAGTGTGTTCTTCCCAAGGATGTTTTCAGATTCAAAATCATCACAAAAGTTAATTAGTTGACAAAATGTCCTTGAACATGTACCAGTTGTTTTCTAAATATTTAAGAAAAAAGTAAAACAGAGGTTTCTTTACTCTTCGATTATCTTCCTGTTTCCCCATTCTGTGGAGTCCTGTAGCCTAGTGGTTAGTGCTCTCGCCTCCCAAGCGAGAGGACCAGGGCGAGCCGAAAACCTAGCCAAGTTTTCATACTCCACTCCTGGAGCTCTGTGAATGAATGACACTTTCAGAGCAGAATTAATGGAGCGTGGATTGCACCGTTGGTCAGTGGGGAGCTGGGAAGCTGTCACATTGAGTTCTTGATTGTACTGAGGAAGCTCTGGCATCCAGGCGCCTGCTGATTTTCAAATGTCACTCAGCACATTTTGTTAAACATGTTATTCGGAATGTTAAAGTGTCTCAGACTAAAATCTCAGTACATGTCAATTGTTCCTCTATTTCCCCTCCACCCCTACCCCTACGAAGGCCGTAACTTTTCCAAGGCTGGATGTTGAAACACTTTATAAAATCCATTGCCAAACCACCAAAGGCAGTGGCTGGAGGGAAACTGAACCCCGCAGATGTGGAGTTGGCCTGTCAGCCTCTCCCAGCAGCCAAAGCACTCCACAAAACAAGTCAGGTACTAACAAAGTTTTTTTTTTACAACCCAAGCCTAACCAGCTCCTTCCCTCTCAGAGCCAGAGCGATTCTGCAAGTAAACATGTCATGCACATACAGCATCGCTCTGAGAGCCCTGTGTGCATTGTCACAGGATTCAAAGGTCATCTGGTTGACCACCGCAGATGATGGGACTGAAGTAGAGAGCTCCAGTGGCCTCAGGTATTCAGCACTCTGAGGCGCTATCATGGGTGAAAGTCACTATAAAAACACAAGTTGTGAGCACCAGCCATAGAACCACAGATACAATGGAGAAAGAGCAGGAAATGGGTTTAGAGTAGAGAGCTCTGGTGGGGGAGTGAGCAGAACCACAAACATGATAAACCTCATTCTGTGTTATTATGTGTTCTCCTATCGTACTGTGTATAAATCTATAATGTGGACCCTCCTAGTCAGATCACCTCAATCGCAACATTAAGTCAAACAAAAGGCATGAAGCTTGATATAGAGGCTAAAATTTATGTCGGGGGGATCACAAGATATATTGTACTGTGTGTTTTGTGGGCAAATGCAGCAGCCAAGTTGCATGCAGCAGTGAACCACAAACAGCTGTGATGTTCATGACCAATTTTATCTGGGGACTCGGAGAAACTACCTTCTTTTTTGGAATAGTGCCTTGGGATCTTTAATGTTCACCTAAACAGGCAGATGGAACCTCAGTTTGATGTCTCAGTTGAAGGACAGCACCTCAAACAATGCAGCACGCCCTCCACGTGCCATCATAGACTAAATGCATTCCAAGTCCCGATGGGGGGAGCTTGAATCCAAGATCTTCTGGCTCAGAAGTGAGAGCATTACCAGCTGAGCCTAGCTGACACATTTAAGGGCAGTTTCCTACAAATGTCACCCCTATGATTCCAACACAATAAAAATAATGCCCCTTCATCTTATGTATAGAATTAATAGGGGTGTGTTCAAAAGTTCGGGTGTCTGGCTTGCAAGCCGAAATTCCTGATGCTTATTTCCAGGAGCCAGTGAGCTATGTTTAGTGCACATGTCTGATTGAACTAGAGGTATGCTGCTGCCTCCCAGAGAGAACAGATCAAACTCAGATGTTCAGCCTGCACAATGTCACTTCCTCTGCATCCCACAGTGACTTACAACATGAAAAATTCCATCCAAATTCTCAACAACAAATAACCAGGTGTGTGGAGTCCTGTAGCGTATTGTGTAGAGCACTCACCTCTCAAGCGAGAGGACCCGGGTTTGTTTCCTGGGCGGTAAGAAACCATGGGCAAGTTTGCTTACTCTTTACTTAGCAGTAAGTAGGAATCGTGTTGTTAGCCGATTGGCGGATCGCTAATAATCCCTTCAAAAATAATAACAATAATTTGGTCTCTCAATCCACGACACTTTGTGGGACACTGCTATGCACAATTGGCTGCTGCATTTTGCCCACAAAATACAGAGTCAATTCAATTTACAGTATATTCTGCTTTGAGACGTCTCAACAACGTGATAATTTAATATAGTAAATGCAAGGATTATTATTATAGTTCAGGAATTTACATAGCTCTTCCCACTGATCCAAACTGCCAGACAGAACTCCAGCGTGGAGATTTGAGAGCAGTCTTTCATCACACTCAAAATCCATTACTGGCCCGCTTGTCCCACTAACCCGCCTTTGTCCTTTCTTATAAGAAGATGTTAAGCCTCTCTATTATTTTTGGTAACGCATGTTGAGTTTTTACTCAGAATAATAAACTTGAAAACCTGCTGACCGTCTGCTGCCCTCTCTACCCCTGTCAAGCCAATATTGAATGAAACTTGAGAAAAATAAATAGGTAGGGGTCCCCTCATGGCAGGGGAGAGATCTAAAAGGAATGACATTCCCTGGGCAGGAGGCCATGAGTCCAAATACATTAACGAACAAATTTGATTCAAAATGAGACATTTTCTATTGGTCAAAAAAGTCATTCTTTTGAGAAAAAGCAACCCTGAAAAAGTACCTGTGTTGAATGTGAACAAGACTGAGGCCCTCCTGATTGGCTCGCGCCAGCGCCTCAGCACCTCAGGCTCTGGCAGCATAAACCTCCATGGTTGCATACTACAACTCACCAAGGCAGTCAGGAACCTGGGTGTCTTGTTCGACCCTCAACTGTCTTTTCTCCCCCACATTCAAGCCATGGCCTGCTCTGCCTTCCCTCACCTCCGTAACATCGTCCGACTCCGCCATTACCTCACCCCTCAGGCCACTGAAATTCTTGTTCATGCCTTCATCACATCCAGGGCTCGACTATGCAAACGCCCTGCTTGTCAACCTTCCCAACTCCTCCCTCCACAGGCTGCAGATAATCCAGAACTCTGCAGCCCGTGTCCTCTCCCGCACCAAACTCCGTGACCCCATCTCCCCCACTCTCGCCCGACTCCACTGGGTCCCTGTCTTTCAAAGGATCCAGTTCAAGATCCTGGTCCTCACCTACAAAGCCCTCCATGGCCTCGCCCCACCCTACCTCTGCAACCTCCTAATCCCCTACCAACCCGCCCGTTCCCTCCGCTCAGCTGGCTCCAGCCTGCTCTACGTCCCCTGACCCACCCGCCCCACCATTGGCAAGAGAGCCTTCATCCACTCTGTCCCCAACCTCTGAAATTCCATCCCCCACTCACTCCGCCTCGCCCCCTCCTTAGCCTCCTTCAAGTCCCACCTCAAGACCCTTCTCTGCGACCATGCCATCGGCCACCCCCCTTCCCCTCCCCTCCTTTCCCCCCACCCCCGCGACCCCAGCTCAGGTCTGAAATGCTGTACTCTGTCCTCCCAACGTGAAAGGCGCTATACAAATGTAATCTTGTTGTTGGGTGCTGAATGAAGGTCCTCAGCCTTACCTATCAACCCCTTCACACCCTAGTACCTCTCTATCTGATCTTCTCCTACTTCCTGTAGCGTATAGATCACTCGCCTCGCAAGCAAAAGGATCTGAGTTTGATTCCCGGGCAGGTTGAAACCTTAGGCAAGTTTCCTTACTCCACACACCTCTGTTTACCTAGCAGTAAGTAGGAACCCAGTGGATCGGTGGATTGTTCTCCGGGGTAGTAATCCCTCCCAAAATATTTTAAACCTGATTAAGCAGACGGTATCACGGATTAACGTCTCATCTGAGGGAACTGACAATGCAACATCCCCAATCACTGCATCAGAGTGTCATCTTAGACTATGTGATTCCAAGCTCCGATGTGAGGCTTGTAACCCACAACCTTCTGACTCAGAGTCGAGAGCTCTACCACTGAGCCAGGCTGACACACTACATGAAAGGTGCCAGATAAATACAAGCTGTTATGTTATTGGCAAACTCACATTTTTTTCAGATTGATAAGCGTATACAATGGGAACGATTGTCTCAAGGCTGTAATATTTCAGAATTGCAACAGTGTTAGTCCAGGAAAAAAACAGCCAGCATCTATAACATTGCAACAAGCACAACTCACAACCTCGGTTGACTTTCACAAGAGGCTTTGTTTGAATTTTCGCCCATACTACAGTCATTTCAAATTAACCTTTCTGCTTTCTTTTCCCATGTTTCAAACACCAAATTAGGAATCAGAGAATCATAGAATATTACAGCACAGAAGGAGGCCATTTGGCCCATCGTACCTGTGCTCGATCTTTGAAAGAGATACTCAATCAGTCCCACTCCTCTGAACTTTCCCCATATTCTTTCAAATTTTTCCTTTTCAAGTACCTATCCAAGTATTTGAACCACTCAAGAATAGCAACAAAATATATGTTAAATCATACTTGAACAGTGCAATATTGTAAATATTACCCTGCTACACAACCCAATCCAATCTGGCAGATATTGATGACAAGTCTTTCCCAGAACAGTAGAATAAGAATATTTTTGAGGTAGCTAAATTTATCTCAACGGTTAAAAGCTGGACGTTTAGTAGCTGGCAATAATTTCTGTCAGTGCTTTGGAGCAGTAGATTTGTCACAGCATGAAATGTGCACTAATAACTATGGAGGAGCCAGCTTTTCTGCTGTAAACAAACATGCCTGACAATAATCAAACCTGGAGCTAATTTCATAAAGCACACAAAAACGGAGAGTATACATATCATTGTCCACGTCACACTCATTCCCCCCACCACCACCCTCACACACATACACACACACACGCACGCCACACCCAGCCTCAAAGTAATAGAAAAAATCCTGAGCTCAAAGTGTTTTGGAATTAAAAGTGGCATTTCAATGCCCTACATTGGAGTAGAATAAAGACAGGTTGGATAAAGTGGTTGAAGCTGGCTGGGTGAAATCAGAGTGCTCGGAGGCGACTGATTACAGAGCGGGAGTTAACACCAGTGATAAAGGAAGGAACAAATTAGTTCCTTAATGAGTTCCTTGTGCTTAAACCGCAATGCAGTGCTCAGCACCAAAACAGACAGCGAGCAGGTTCTTCACGAGTGTAGCTAAAAGGGGAAAGAAGCAATGCTATAACCTGATAGAGATCTGATTATTATTATTATCTGCTCTGGTCCCACATGGAGTATGGTTACATGTCTGGTTGCCACATTAACTATAAGGTCACTTTGGAGGGGATAAGGACAACATTTGCACTTAAACAGTATCTTCCACATAGAGCATCTCAAAGCTCTTTACATGAATGGTATGGGACACAAGGAAGGTAAGTGGAGGTTAGTCCATGACTCTGTCCTTGACTGGTTCAGTTCATACCTCTCACACCGGCTCCACTTCATCTCCACAAATGGTTTTTCCTCTAGCCCCCTCACTGTCTCATGCGGAGTTCCTCAAGGCTCTGTCCTTGGTCCCCTCCTCTTCAATATCTATATGCTCCCTCTTGGTGACATCATCTGCAGACATGGGATCAATATCCACATGTCTGCAGACGACATCCAACTGTACCACTTTGCCTCCACCCTTGACTCCAGGATCACTGCTGTCCTGACAGAATGTCTGTCAGATATCAAGTCTTGGATGAGAGCTAACTTTCATCAGTTGAATGTCAACAAGACCAAGGCCCCCCTGATTGGCTCCCATCAGCGCCACCACACCTAGGACACTGACAGCATCACCATCCATGGATGCAAACTCCACCTTATTAAGCCAGTCCGGAACCTTGGGATTTTGTTTGACCCTCAACTATCTCCTTTCTAACCCACATCTGTGCCATGACTGGTTCTGCCTTCCCCCATCTCCACAACATCGCTCAGCTCTGCCACTGTCTCACGCTGCAGGCCACCGAAACCCTCATACACACATTCATTATATCAAGGCATGACTATGCAAATTCCTTGCTTGTCGGCCTCCCCAACTCCTCCCTCCATAGGCTGCAGATCATCCAGAACTCTGCAGCCTGTGTCCTCTCCCACACCATGCTCTGTGATCCTAACGTTCATCTTCGTCCGACTCCACTGACTTCCCATCGCACAAAGGATACAGTTCAAGATCCTGGTCCTCACCTTCAAAGCCCTCCATGATCTTGCTCCCCTCTACCTTTGTGACCTCATAACCCGCTACCATCCTGCCCGCTCCCTCCCCTCAGCGGGCTCCGGCCTGCTTCACGTCCCCCGCCTTGCTAGCCCCATCATTGACGGGCGGGCCTTCTGCCACTCTGCCTCCACCCTCTGGAACTCCATCCCGCAGTCCCTCCACCTCGTCCCCTCCCTTGCCGCCTTCAAGACCCATCTCAAGACCCTACTTTTCGACCGTACTTTCGATCTCCCTGATTCCCTCCTGCCCTCCATCCTCCCCGATCCGGATGCCCAGCTCGGGTCTGAAACTCTGACTGTCAAGCGCCTTGGGATGTCCTCCCAACGTGAAAGGCATTATACAAATGTAATTTTGTTGTTGTCACAGAGGTAGATTTTTAAGGAGACCTTTGAAGATCAGGGAGAGAGGCATAGATTCTGGGAAGCAGAACTCGGAGGTAGAGAAAAGTGGTCTTGGTCAAGAAGCGAATATACTAAACTACAACTGGGGAGGTTTACGAGGTCAGAGCCAGCGGTAAGCAAATGCTGGCAAGAGATGAGGTTGGCAAGGATGAGGCAACAAGGTGCTTTCAGTTATATTGAGGTTCAGCTAAAGGAAATTAACAATAATCCTCCCATTTTTGAGGGATTCTTAACCCCAGTAAGTGATCTGCCAACAACCAGGTTCCTACTTACTGCTAGTTACACAGAGCTGTATGGAGTATAGAAACTTGTCTAAAGTTTTTCCCCGCCTGGGAATAAACCATTGTGTACAACTTTACACTGGGTGAGGCAATTATTGCATAGAGTTATTGCACGTTGACCCCGCTTTGAAGCTCTGCAAATTCTTGCAGCAATAATATTCAATTGTGCCTTTATATAATGCACCTGTTTTCTTATTCCATTCTGCACCACATCCTACTAGGGAAAAATGGCAGATTCTAATCTTAGCACACAAAGTATTAAGTCAGTTGAGGACTGTGCCAGGGTTCAGCATTAACATCTCACTCATCTGTGAATATACAATTCTGTTTCCAATTAGTGTAACTCTTTACTGTCGGCAGGTTACTCATTACTGACTCCAGCCTCAATAACAGATGAAAGGTGTAGCCTGGAGTCCGAGTTTGTGAACATGTGTTTGTTCATTCAGTGCCTGGAATCAACCTTGATCGGCTTGCAGAGAGGCAACAACTGCACCTCCCTTCCAACTGGTGGAACCGTCGCTCAATGGGAAGGGATGTTTGTCCGAGCTGAAGACAAGAAAATGGTAACAATGCTCTCACACATTTCATGCTGAGCTATGCTTCCCATCAGGCAGCTCACAGTGAGTGAGTTCCTGGTACCTCCTGTTCACCTAGTGAGGGCTCAAACCCCCTTGCTTGTCAGATGTCAAATGACCCCCCCTGATGGGTGGGCGTTGGGTGGGTAAGTGGGTCTCCAGGGCATTACTGCTGACAGTTTTTCAGCTGCTTCCATTTGCTGATGAGTCCAGCAATGTACGCTAGCCTATAGTGGATCTAAAGGGACTTTAGGAAGAACTTCTTCACACAGAGGGTGGTGAAAATGTAGAACTCACCGGTTGAAGCAAAGACCATCAGTGTTTATAAGATGGAAACTTAGTTGGTGGGGGCAGGTGAGGTTCAGAGGTAATGAAGTAAAGAGAGAGACAGTCAGAGCAATAAAGATCAGGATATCAAGAACAAAAGAGAGACAGAACGGTATTAAGGAGCAAGACATCTGAGACTGGACACAGTGAGAATATCTCTCAGATATCAAAATGTGCCTTGTATCTGGTCCAACAACAATAAATG